CAACCAGAAAGAAAGACATGGAGAGGAGCTGCAGGAAATCCATGGGTGTTAATTTTCCCCTGTGAGGAGCATCTGTGAAAGCAAGCAGCTGCCTCTAGCTTTTTGGGACCTTCTGAACGTGACCCCATGCATGAACGTGACTAAGGAACAGATTACTGCAGCAAGGGCTGCATCAGGAAGGGATGCTCAGAATCTCTTTGCTGGCAAAATGATAGGTGAAAGGAAGGAAAGAGAGAAATGGTCTTCCCTGTGACCAGGGAATGGAGGCACAGCATCAAGAGAAGTGTGGCCAGCAGGGCGAGGGAGGTGATTCTGCCCCTCTTCTCTGCTCTGGTGGGACCCCACCTGGAGTACCTCAACACAGGAAGGACATGGACCTGTTGGAACCGGTCCAGTGAAGGGCCACAAAGATGATCAGAGGGATGGAGCACCTCTGCTATGATGACCGGCTGAGAGAGTTGGGGTTGTTCAGCCTAAAGAAGAGATGGCTCTGGGGAGACCTTATATCGGCCTTCCAGTACCTGAAGGGGGCTACAGGAGAGATGGGGAGGGACTATCAGGGAATGGAGCAATAGGATGGGGGGTAATGGTTTTAAATTGAAAGAGGGGAGATTTAGATTAGATAGTAGGACAAAATTCTTTACTGTAGGGGTAGTGAGACACTGGAACAGGTTGCCCAGGGAAGCTGTGGCTGCCCCATCCCTGGAGGGGTTCAAGGCCAGGCTGGATGGGGCTTGGACTAACCTGTTCTGGTGGAAGGTGTCCCTGCCCAGGGCAGGGGGGTTGGAACTCAATGATCTTGAAGGTCCCTTCCAACTGTAACCATTCTATGATTCTATGAATCTAAGTATCTTGCAAGGTCCCAATGACATAGCCCTCGCGGCTCACGTGTTGAGCTCGCCTGCCCTCACCTAACAGCTGAGTACTGTCAGCACCATGCTGTCACTGCAACACAAACCTCTCTGTGCTGAAAAAGAGCAAGGAGGGAAAAGACCCTTGTGACTGCACAGAGAAATCTTAGAGAAGACAAAGAACTACCCTGAAAACCCTTTGTCATCTCCAGAAAACAACCCAGCTACTTCATGGTTGATCAAAACCCACCAAACACTTCAAATATACCAGGAAGGGCTACCTTGGTATTACCTTTCCGACACATCCCTTGTGGCTCACGTGTTGAGCTCACTTGACCTCGCCTAAGAGCTGAGTACTGTCAGCACCATGCTGTCACTGCAACACAAACCTCTCTGTGCTGAAAAAGAGCAAGGAGGGAAAAGACCCTTGTGACTGCACAGAGAAATCTTAGAGAAGACAAAGAACTACCCTGAAAACCCTTTGGCATCTCCAGAAAGACAACCCAGCTGCTTCATGGTTGATCAAAACCCACCAAACATTTCAAATACACCAGGAAGGGCTACCTTGGTATTACCTTTCCAAAATACTCAAATACCAAAATACTCCAAAATACCAAAAGCTCAAATACTGTGGAAACAGTACGGGAAGTTTGTCTGGAGCTCACCAACAGGGGGAAGATGGTCTAGTGATGGGAAGACTGTACGGTTCATCAGATAGCACAGCACAAAGTGATGAGCTCTGCTGAGAGCACCTGTTCTAGGGACAGGTTTTGGCAGTACCTGAGCACCACTTGCTTCTCTTCTGTCCTCGAAAAGAGTACTTCCAAAAGCCTACTCAGAGATTTCTGCAAGCGGTGATGTGTTCCGTTCTGCTTCATGGCAGCAGAGGCAGTTGCTGATCTTGTGATGGCTCCCCCTAAACTTTCCAATTACTCCTTTCTCCAGCACTCATCAAGCCTCCCTGTCCCTCCTCTGCCACCGTAAGAGCCATTTGTGTTCCCATTCCTCACCTCACGCTGTCCTTCTCTCACTCTCATCATTAACCTTGTCCTGCCAACTACCAAGTTGGTCCAGCAGGTTGCAATTTCAGACACTCCTTGGAGTTAAGACATGGGAGTTAGGCAAGAAGCTTTTAGTGGCTACCACTGTTTTCCTTATTCTGTGGATATTCACAACCTTGGCTTGGATATTCACAAGACGGCACCTCTACTAATGAGATGTTGCTCCCTCTCTCTCACATCTGCCCATTTGTCTTAAGAGTCCTCCCAGACGTTCACTGGATGCAGCATCCAAAACTCATCCTGTTGCATCCAGTCAGACAAACCTTCAAGGAGAAAATTTAATTCAGCCAATAACTGCCAGTATCAGCACCAATAACAGACAGTTCTTATTATCCACATAAATGAAGAAAGTTTAATAATGGCTTTATCCAGCCTAAATGTCACAACTGTACAAATAAGCTTTGTGCAACACCTGCACCAGGCCGTGCCATCCCAATTGTTATATAGGATTATTCTTCTTGCACGCTCTTGCTGCTTAAAGGGCACCTCTGCTAACAAGATGTTGCTCCCTCTCTCTCACATCTGCCCATTTGTCTTAAGAGTCCTCCCAGATCCGCACAAATGAAGTAAGCTTAATAATGGCTTTATCCAGCCTAAATGTCACAACTGTACAAATAAGCTTTGTGCAACACCTGCACCAGGCCGTGCCATCCCAATTGTTATATAGGATTATTCTTCTTGCACGCTCTTGCTGCTTACTGTAATGTATCACCACTGCTTCTCCACACTTATAAAAACAGACACGAAAAGAGCAATTACTTGTGTGAAATGTCCATCTACACGGAAATAAATATACGTTAAATTTCTGCAGCTACTTGTTTTACATTATTCACTGGAATAATGTAAGAATTGGAAATTCAGAATTCAGAATTTCCATTCAGAATTGGAAATGTTCCTTTTTTTTCTGTGCAAAGCTCAGTTCCAATTAGAAGAAATGGGAAGGCCCAGAACTCCACTTGAAAATTAAAATCAATATGATCAAAAGTAAAAAAGAAATAGCTAAACTCTTCCCTTTTTGTTAAACTGGACTGTTCCTTTTTAACCAAAACACAGAACATTTGTTGGAAAAAACAAACCTTCTCTTGACAATATTATCACAGACCTTATGCACAGTTTACTTACTCTGCGAGGTAAAAGCAATACAAGGATTTATAGTTGGCACATTAAGGACAATGCATTGAAAACTGATACTTTTATGGTACCAAAAAAGTATTAGCCTATTGGTGGCCTGCATTTCAGAAAGCCTCACTTAGCTTCTTTCGAGGGAATTTCATCACGGCAAAACATGTCGGCTTCACAAGAGATGAAACACCTGTTTATCCACAGACCAAGCGGTTTGGATTTGCAGGAGCATAAGCTCTCCCTGCAAGTGTCCACTGATGCAGGGATGCCGTTGGAGAGGGACCACCCCTTGGGGAAGGCACCCTGAGTGCTGCTTTCAGCCCTCCCAGCTTTCTGCTGAGCCAAGCACAGCTGTCTGGTTTGGATTTTTCTGGTGTCCCCACTAGAAGCTGACCCCAGAAGAGCAAACTCACTTTTGAGTGAGCTTCAGCACCCTTGAACTGCCACCAGATACACAGAATCACAGAGTCTTCATGGTTGGAAGGAACCTTTGACATCATCAAGTCCAACCACAAAAAAACAAACCAACCAACCAAAAAACCAAACCAACCACAGACACAACCCAACAATCTCAGGCACTAGAGCATGCCCTGAAGTGCCATGTCTACACGTTTCTCAAATACCACCAGGGATGGTGACTCCACCACCTCCCTGGGCAGGCTGTTCCAGTGCCTGACCACCCTCTCAGGAAAGTCATTCTTCCTAAGATCTAATATAAACCTCCCCTGCCCCAACTTCAGACCATTTCCTCTGGTCTTGTCATTATTCCCTTGGGAGAAGAGGCCAACACCCACCTCTCTACACCCTCCTTTCAGGGAGCTGTAGAGGACAGTAAGGTCTCCCTTCAGCCTCCTCTTCTCCAAACTAAACATGCCCAGTTCCCTCAGCCTCTCCTCATATGAGTTATTCTCCAGACCCCTCACCAGCTTGGTGGCTCTCCTCTTGACACGCTCCAGCACCTCAATGTCCTTCCTGTAGTGAGGGGCCCAGAACTGAACACAGCACTCAAGGTGAGGCCCCACCAGTGTCCAGTACAGAGGCACCATCACTGCCCTGCTCCTGCTGGCCATGCGGATCCTGACACAAGCCAGGATGCTGCTGGCCTTCTTGGCCACCTGGGCACACTGCTGGCTTGTGTTCTGCCGGCTGTCCACCAACACCCCCAGGTCCTTTTCTGCTGGGCAGCTTTCCAGCCACTCTTCCCCAAGCCTGTAGCATTGCCGGGGGTTGTTGTGACCAAAACGCAGGACCCGGCACTTGCCCTTAACTAAACCTCATCCCACTGGCCTTGACCCATTGATCCAGCCTGTCCAGGTCCCTCTGATGACAGGCCTATAGTTCCCCAGATCCTCCTTCTGGCCCTTCTTGTAGATGGGCGTCACGTTGGCCACCCTTCAGTCATCATTCACCTCTCCTGCTGCCGAGGGGACCTTCTGAGAAGCCAAGAAATGCCCTTCATGGGATGGGCGTGGTGAAAACCTAGACAGCCTGGGTTGCATCTGCCCCACACTGTGCCAGTGCTCATTCCTCACTTTCTGCAAGTGAAGGACTTTTAGATGACACCTCAGTGAGGGCCAGAAAAGCAGTTTCAAGGTTGCAATCGCAGGACTGGTGCACGTACTGGTTTACCTTACGCCCCAGGGGATGCTGTCTGCCTGGTCGCCCCCAGGGTGGTACCCCAGGTGGCTCTCCCCTACAGCACCCCTGACCATCAGCCACAGCAGGCAGAGCAAGCTCTCCCCACCAAGATGCTGAACAAGGTGTGAATGAAAAATGATCCCAGGGGAGGCCAAGGAGCTTTGGAGGTCCAAAGCACTGTGCCAGCTCCATGCCTGCAACCCACTCGCTCCGGGGGCTTCCCCCTCCTTTGCTCCACTGGGCTTTCAAGATCAAGCTGGGTTTGATAGCCCTGTTTCTCCACCACGCCCTCAGAAGTGAAAGGAGAAGAGGAATGCGGGACACTCACCACATCTATGTTTGTGATCTTGGCCAGGAGGTCCGTGAACCTGTCCCCGTCATTGAGCTGAAGGCCACAGATGGCTGCTCCCACACTTCCAGTTGCTATCATTGACGGTGGGTACAGGGCAAAGTTAAAATCTGCAAGAACAGATCTGGGAATTAGTCCAAGCCCAGACCAGAAAAGCTGCAAAACATCAGAGGCAAGCAACATTAAAAAAAAAAGAAAAAACAAAAACCACACCCAAGAATAAAAACCAGAGAAGCAGAAGAAAGGGAAAAGTGCCACTCTTTTTGCTCCAGCAGAGCTCGTTAGTCACACTGCTCATCACAAGCAGTCAAAGGAGGGGTAACAGATCTGCAAATTAAAATGGAAATGCGGTTTGGTCTTTTATTCTCACTGATGCATAAAGTGAACCTGGACAATTTTTAATAGTCTTTCCTTAGTTTTAAAGAAAAGGAAAGAGAAGAAGGAGGCTTTCTGCAACTTATGTCAGAAATTTGGGTCTCAGTAACATTAGAGCTCTCTGTAAAACCGCAAAACTAACTGGAATACGGTATCACAAAGGACCAAACTGAGATTTTTAGTCACGTCAGTTTTTAAAGACTTAATTAAGGCGAGCACTTAAAGACCTCTCCGGGAAAAAGGGTTTAATTAACAATTCATCTTTACCACCTTTGCAATTAGGGACCAAGAACACTTACAGCCCATAGCTACATAACCAAAGAAAAAACAGAGATCACGTTTGTCATTACCACTATTTCTTAATAAGCAAGTTGAAAATACATTTCAAAACTTCCTCTCACACATCTGTGGAGATCAGGAGAGAAATGAAAATAAAACTAAATGTTCTTGTGACCTTCATAAGGCCTTTATGGTTTATGATACTGGTACGATATGATCAGCACTGGTTTATTGGTAGATCTTACTAAATACCACTTCCAGAAGATTTTCCTGGTTAGTGATACCTCCCTAAAATAAAATTTAGTTTGCAAGTTGTTCAGTTGAACTCACGAACAAACCCTTCTCTACCAGTTTTCAGCTGGGGGGATGGGAAGAGCAGGAAGAGGCAACCCAAGTCATACTTAATATGAAATAAACCACTATCAATATACTCAGCCTATTTATAGAAACAGATTTGTTACAGAAAAGTGCCCTTCTGTTCAGGGCAGATCCCAAGCCTTCCCTCTTCAGCTAGCACAAATTCTGTAACCCTCTTGATGTCTGCGTAACCACTCAAGTTTTGCACACATGAAGAGTTGTTTTCAGCCTCCCAGACTCTGAGCTGGCAGAATCTGCAATAGCTGTGGAGATGGCATGCTCTTCTCCAGGCTGGAATGTGTCCCTGGGACCCACAAGGAATGAAGCAGTCAGGTAAGAATGGGTCTTGGGTCATAATGTTCATCTAGATGGACTGGAGGGGGTGGTTAGAAGAGGGGAAAGAAGAGGAGGAGCTGAAACCCTGACATGGATTTATCTGTCTCACGAAGCCACTGACAGAAGACCACCTGCAAGCCCACCCCTGCATGCTGCTGAAGCCCACTGTCCTTCCTACCAGGGGAGCTCAGCAGACATCAATCTCCAACAACCACTTCTGACAGAGCAAATTCCCACTGACAGACGCAATGAATATGGACTGCCATTATTATAAAAATGGTAATTATGCACTATCGTAATAGTAAGACCCCCCCCGTACATCGGGAAGTTGATGATCTTGGAAATTAAGTTATATTGCCCCCACTAATGAGCGTGTCAGTAGGAGGGCTTTGACTCCTACCTATCAGCGTGGGACACAGCCCTGAGGATGCTGATCGTGGCACATGTCGGGGCAACAGGAATTGCACCCCCACTCTCAAAATCACTTGCACATTTACCTCACATGGATTTATACACCCACGTGCAAGGGCCAGCCTTGGAAATTAAGTTATATTGCCCCCACTAATGAGCGTGTCAGTAGGAGGGCTTTGACTCCTACCTATCAGCGTGGGACACAGCCCTGAGGATGCTGATCGTGGCACATGTCGGGGCAACAGGAATTGCACCCCCACTCTCAAAATCACTTGCACATTTACCTCACATGGATTTATACACCCACGTGCAAGGGCCAGCCCCATCCAGCCTGTAAATGGATGACCAGGGAAAATAGATGAAGCTACCTGACACATGGCACATGCGCTCCCCACAGAACCTGCCCGATCCCCAGTGCCTCAGCCTCTGGTTGCACTCATCATCAGGCCATAAATACAATGAGATTTTAAGCCCTCGAAACGACCCTCATTTTATGCCATCCTGCTGGAGGGCCCCCGGGACTCGGTTTTGGGTGACTGCTGTAGCACCTTGTTCCTGTGGGTTGACCTGGTAGCTAGTGGCTCCATGGAAAAAGCGTGACAGACAGGCCACCAGTTTGCAAAGTCCAATATGAAAAGCAGGAATAATTAAAGAACTCCAATAAAGAAAGGTTTTTATAAAGGCTGTAAATGTTTATGTGCTTGCGTGACTGTCCAGAGTCTTGTCCCGGTCCATGGAGAAAACAACAAACTTGAATAAATTTTAAGAATGTTCACTTCAACATGTCAAAAATCTGCTCTCATCTACATCGAGAAATTCATCAGCAACTGAACTAATTTCTTTAGAAATGGGATACATTTACCAAGACTGCATCTCCACGGGTCTGTTACTCCTTTTGTACATGCTGCATTTGCTTGGGTTTGCAAATCCCGCGTGGTTGCGTTGGCGTGAATGAGGCTGCACTTGGCCAAGGTGGCCCTAGGCTGGGATGCAACTCCTGCACTCAATCATTGGACTTCCCAAACCGTCTCCTAGTTATGCAAGGGCACCATGGGTGGCAACGGGCTTTACATCATTTACCCCTCCTTGTCTCGAGTTTCGAGGAAGACGTAGTAAAAAGATGATGTGAAACCTCTCAAACTCTGCCGGCGCTTGGACATCCCTTTGAAAGCTACGATGTGGTATCTGAGAATGAAAACCTACCCCCTTCCACCCATCATTTGAGGCCGCAGCAGGGAAAAATGGACCCACCCGGGGATCCAGATGGACCCACACCCTACTGTGTGGTCACCAAGTCCCCGCAGAGCTGCTTCACCCAGCCCTGCGTGGCTGGTGGGGAAGATCTGAGCTCCTGCAACCCACACTCAACGCTCAGCATCACCCAGGCTCAACGGGCTGAGAGAAGGACACAGCTCCAGCCTGCCCCCTGAACTTCCTTGCCTTCCTTGCCATCAGGACATTCACATTATCCAAATGCCGGCTTTCTCGTGGCTGATTTTATATCTACTCCCAGAAACCGTCTTCCTAGGAAGCTGAATAAAGAGCCACAGTGCCCCTGCCAACTAGCACTGCTGTAGGTCTGCTTCCACGTGGGGTCACATGAGAACACTTCTATGCCCAATAACCTTGTTAGTTCCCTTAATGTCATTCATAATGCAAATGAGACAGCGAGCGAATGGCCAGAGGCCCAGAGTGACTAAAGCTCAGCATCCAGAAAGTCTTACATTGCCTCTAGCTCTAAACTAACTTCCCTCCATAACAAGCACCATAAACTTGGCTATCAAAGCTACACATGCCCAGTCTTTGTTGTACAACAGGCAGCGATTTGTATCACTGGGTTCTATTTTTAGCATATTAATTAACTACTGCAACTGGTGAGGCAAGTGTCTCCAACTGGAGAGTGTGGCGCCATTGTCTGAAGTCATCACCTCATCTCGCGCTATTGAAAATCATGGCAGTGACCCTCCTGCTGATATGAATTTAACCTGACATGCCCACAAAGGGATGGGGGGTGGTGCACCAATTTTGTGCACATGGTTCTCCACATCACCCTGGACCCTATTAGTGTGGAAAGAGCTCATTGAAAGAAAAGAAGCCACATTGTGCTGGGCCACCTAGAGGGTTGAATAGAAAAGGCTGAGGAAAAGAGCAGGCAGTGGAATAAAGGCCGTAATTAACATATTTCCATATTCAAGCAAAGCAATAACTACGTGAAATGTTTGTCAAGGTGCAATGAAAGCATAAATATTAAGTACCGTATCTGAGGGGATGCAGAACCCCCCTCCGAGTCTCTGAAATTCCATCGAGAAACTCAAAACAAGCTACTTACACATCATTTTCAATTATAAAACTCTATCCCTGCTTCCCTCATGACAACAAGCCAAATCCTGACATCTTCCCTCAGTTTTCACCCAGGTAAAACTGCCCCCAGAATTAAGTTATAAGCTTGCTCTGAGATTTAAAAAAAAAAAAAAAATCATCAAAATAAAAGAGGGAGAGAGAGGACTTGAACATTTGACTCTGAAACATATGCTTTTATTTTAAATTCTTGTCGGAGGTGATGAACCCTGAGGGAATGTTACAAAAATCACTTCTTACTGGACACCTGAAGCAAGGCTATGGGTTAAATCCTTTTTTTTGGACCTCTGTGCAGCACTGGTTATCTGGCACCCAGCGCCTGCACCGAAGACACGGGCTCTGCCTCAGACTTGGCTGTGATTTATGCAATTCCGTGGCAAAGTCAAAGGAGTTTAGTAAAAAGTCAGAGGATTGGTGCAACAACGTGGAGTTCTACGGGGATGCAAACACACGCAACACTCCAAGGAAGAAACGGGCTGTTCGAAGGCAGGATTTGCTTTACCTTCTATTTATTCCCAGGCAAGAAACACCGGAAACCATCCCACCCCTGTTTCAGCGTCACCTGTTTTCCTAAAGGACCTTAAAAAGAAGGGATCGACCTTGCACAACCCCACTCACTTGAGTGTTGGAAATGAAATAAGAAAAAAAAAAAAGGTAAAATGAGAAACAGTGCCCTTTGAAACACAGCCAGCCGGAGTCACCAAGCAAGTGCAGGGGACCCTGCATCCTCATCCTGCTTTCAGATGGGAGCTCACGCCGCCAGGGCACGGACACACGCATGGGCTGAGGATGTTTCTTCTGCTGGTGCAGCACACCAAAGTGATGCTCAGGTTCTTCCAATATCTGAAGGGAGCCTCCAGGAGAGCTGGGGGGGTACTCTCTGTCAGGACGTGTAGTGACAGGACAAGGGGTAACGGTTTTAAACTGAAAGAGGGGAGACTTAGATGAGATACCAGAAAGAAATTCTTTGCTGTGAGGGTGGTGAGGCACTGGA